CTCCCCTTCCCAACTTTTCTGTCCCAGTCCATTACACGCCTATGATCCCAAACACCTCTCATCCATTAATCAAAAGGCGTTTGCTGCTGATCAGACTACAGTGAAAGTGGCAGTCTCAATCTTTGCTCGGCCAATGAAGCCACACATCAGGAAACCATTGTGGATCCAACCATAAATATGTTCTAACTAAGCAATCCAAATTCAATGAGATCTACTCTCAGGGAATAATGCAAAATAGAGAAAAAGCTGCTCCCAAGGTCTTTACAGCAGGATTACTGTCTTGAAAGAGAAGAGAAGAAACAGAGAAGAAAAAGAAAAAGAAACAGGAAAATAATTAAGCCACCCAAAATACACTAAGCAAAATTATAACTAATAGTCCTAACAAGTTTCCTTAGCCAAAAAAAAAAAAACAGCATGAAAAAATTGCTAACATTAAATAAGTTGAAAAGGTAAGACTGGAGGTTGAGTTGTGGCACAGTAGGTTAAGCTGCCACCTGTGATGTAATGCAGGCATACTATATGAGCACTGGTTCTGGTCCTGGTTGTTCCATTTCCTATACAGTTCCCTGCTATTGCATCTGGAAAAGTAGTGGGAGATGACTTAGGCCCCTGCCATTCATGTGGAACACCTGAAAGGAGCTCCAGGCTCTGGCTTCCAATGGCCCAGCCATTACACCATAAAGGGAGTGAACCAGCAAGGCAGCAAACAGAAAATTCTAACTCTGCCTTTCTAATAAATGAATCTATGTGTATACATATATATACATACATATGGTTTAAAACTGTAAGCAAACTTATCACTACTTGAAAGAGCTGATTCACAAAAGGAAATAGACTAAGAAGTCTTATTTTTCTGTCAGTCCATGGAGCATCTGCAAGAACTACACTTCCTCTCTGTTTCCAAATCTGTGGTCCAAACCACACCCTCCGGTTCGCTGGGATCTGGCCTCCGGCCCCAAATCTATCTTGAGATTACTCACTCCTGGCTCAGCTTCTGCAACCCTTGCTTCCGTCACTCCCCTTAGAGCATCAGCAGTCCCTCCTCGCCCAGCTCCTCCTTGGCCTCCACTCACTGGACAGTGGCTTGCATTTTAACCTTTCATCACCTGTCTGCTTCATTACTGTTCCAGCAGCCTAAGCGGTCGCCCCGGCCTCTAGCCCCTCCTCCATGCTTCCTGACCCTGCTGGTCCAGAGGTAGTCCCCAAGTCTAATGCACTGATTCTGGTAAGCCCTCTCACCTTCACGGTAGCACGTGAGCCACCAACTCAGCAAACCAAGACCTTTGCCATCTGGCCACCAGCTCCCCTTCACTTCCACCCACCAGGACACGGCTCCCTTCCACCTCCGTCTTCCTCTTGCACGCCTGGTCCCTTCACATGCACAGAGCAGGATCCATAGGGTTCACACTCGCTCCCAGCAGGCCCCAAGGACACAGGCCAGAGCCCAGCTGGTTTTCCCGTTTCCTATACCATCATTGCCACATGGATTTCCCCTAGCAATTCTTTCACCTTCTCTTAGTTAGAACTGCCCTCCCTTCTACTTGCCTGCTAGCCACATATGATTTCTGAGCCTCCAAAACGCAACACCAAGATACCATAAATGTACAGTATACACTGGATTTCAAAGTCTTAGTATAAAAATCAATATTTCATTTTAACTATTGATAAAATACATATTACGTTTGGTTAAATAAAATTAATTTCACCTTTCTTTTTGCTTTTTTCAATGTGGTTACTAGAAGATTTTTCATTCCCCCTGTGGTTCACATGGTATTTCCATAAGGCAGAGCTAGCGTAACAACCATTCTTCAAGGCCTAGCATGAGTAAAAATTTCTTCAATGCCCTCCATGTTTGTGTCATTCTTAGCAATCTGTTTTACCCTTTAAGATCCTATGACAGCCTATCAAATAAATGATCATCTAGTTACATATTATGCCATATGTTGACTATTGCTTTATCTCCTTCTTGCCCTATCGATGCTATCTGCATATTCTAATTTGGGATTCATTCAACTTTTAATTAGACATGGAATTTGCTGGAACAATATGGTAATACACAGGGTGGGTGTGGGGCTTCTGAGTATTCTTTTGTTTTTTCATTTACTTCCCCAGTGGTGTAGGGGAAAATCAAAGTCCAGACCCTAAGAGCACCTTATTCCTCCTGCAATTAACACAACACAGGTAACCCATGTAGTAGATGACCCAGCACCTTGTACAGACGCCCTCTGCCTCAGTTTCTCCCTCCACAGATTACAGTATACAATATAGAGCCAGCCCAAAGTGTCTAAGCAAGTTGGAATTGGAGTTGCTACCCTCACACAAAGAAATACTCTGCTACCCACAGTGGGTGCGATTTTCAGCCAGTTATCATGAATATGTCTCACCTGGTATGAAAAGAGGACAAAGCCATTGCTGTGATCAAAAATAAGAAAGAAGAAAAAGAGCAACCGCCCATCAAATATTGTCAGGAAAACGTACTGGGAAAAGAAGCTGGTAAAAGTCTCCTGCAAGATGAAACCATTTACACATCAGACTCCTAACAGCCCTTTACAAGGCAGGCATTACCACACCCAGCCACAGACCAAAGACAGACACAGGTTCACAGACAGGCTAGCTACCCCAAGTCATCAGCCACAATGGCAAACACAGGTCAAGGGTATCATCTTCATGAGATAAAAAAAAAAAAAAGAAAGAAAGAAAGAAAAAATAGTATCTTCATTGTCACTCGATGATAAAATACATGAAAATCCAGAGTGTCATATAAATAGGCATAAAAATACAACAGTAATTACTCTCCATTTCCTCAATCTTGGCTCAATTCCTACCTTTCAGTTCAAGAGGCTTTGTCTTTTAAGTAGATTTTTTTCCCCAAGTAGCAATCAAATAGGGCATGTGATGCAAGAAGAACTAGTACATTAGTGTACTATTATTCTTCAGTCTCTAAAAGAAAGTTGTGAGCAAAAGTTCACATTAAACAATATGACCAAAATTCCTGAGACATTTTACAAAAACTGAGTCCCTATAGATAAAGATCCTGGTGATACACATAGAAAACGGATCCATTCTATTAACAGTCGCATCAATAGAAACCAACATTTAAAAAAAAAAAAAAAGTCCATGTAACAAAACAGGTCACAATGAGTTCCAAAAAAAATGTTAAAGGGAAGTTTCTTAGAAAGTTCACCTTGGGGTGAAACCATAATTATACAGACTTGAAAAGTATCTACTTGCTCAGAAAGCTAACAAGTTACTAAGAACTCCCAAAGATCTGCTTTTACAAAATGTAATCAACCTTGTCCTGCCGATTTAGAACAAGTTTCCATATCCTAGCACTGAGAACATCCCAAAACCAAGCCCTCCGAAACACTGGCCAACTCTCCTTTATCAAAGCTGTCCCTCCAATAGGTGTTAATCAGTCACTACAGACACAGAACCAGCACAAAGCCACCTGTGTGTGCCTGGCACTTTACTACAGGAAGTAGAAAGTTCAGTACCGAGAACATCACACTTCACTTTCAAAAAGTCTTCAAGGCAAATCCCTCTCACAGCACCTAATTTAACCCCAAGAAATCTGAGGTTGTGAATAATTCCACTTGAGAAAAGTAGGAGATGAGTTGTTCTTGGGATTTTGGGGGGGGGGGGGTGTTTCCCCTCTCTTACAGGTAGTTCACTAAGAATAAACAGAAATAGTTTGTAGTTTTTAACCTCATGAATAAGATCTTTCTTTAAAATTGTGCCACATAAAGTGACTTCTTTTATGCCACATTTTTACCAACAACAGGCACATGAAGACAAGGTGATTTCTGCGTTCACTTTAAGACCAAAAGACCTCCAGAAAAAAATAGTGTTCTTTCCTTGGTTCCCAAATAATCAAAGACAAGTTTGTGTACGGGCAGAAAAGTGTTTTCATCTTAAACAAAATTGACGGCTAAGGAAGTTTGGGGGTAGGGGAGAAAGAAAGAAAGAAAGAAAGAAAGAAAGGAAGAAAGAAAGAAAGAAAGAAAGAAAGGAAGGAAGGAAGGAAGGAAGGAAGGAAGGAAGGAAGAAAGAAAGGAAGGAAGAAAAAGGGAACGAGAAGAGGAGAGGAGGGGAGGGGAGGGAAGGGGAAGAGAGGAGAGGAGAGGAGAGGAGAGGAGAGGAGAGGAGAGGAGAGGAGAGGAGAGAATAGAACATAGCCAGCTCCACATCCCATATAGCAGGTGACAGGAAGCGTTGAGACCTTCACACCCACAGGCATGGGCTTCCCCAAGGACCAACTCCAGGCCCTCCACCCAGCAGGCCATAAACAGAAGGCAGCAAACAACCCAGCCTGTCATCCCGGGGATGATGGACGAGTGGCCTCCAGGACCCAGGAGGGTCACCCCCCTCCCTCTGGCCAAGCCCCTTCACAAGCACACAAAGGGTCCAAAGCAGGCAGACCCCTAAATGAAAAATCAGACTTCCAAGAGGGCAGAGGGACTTCACTCAGTCTGCGCTAAAACCACTCGGAATCTAGTGAGGAGGGTCTTCGACTCCAAAGCAACAAGACAATCTCAATAAAAGGCGCACAGTGAAGGGGGCTGACAGTTGACTGAGGCCGGGCTGGAGTCACCCGGCGTCTTGGTCTCCTCGGGATCTCAGACTCAAAACACTAACAATGTGGACACGAGAAGGGACGATGACAGCTCAACCACCTGCAACTCGGGCCGTTCGCTGGACAGAGGACAGTGGCTCCTGGTGCCCGGGTTCGAGGTGACCCGGAGGACAGGCGCCCAGGGAAACCCTGAACCGAAGATTTTACCCGGGAGAACGACATGGGGGCAGTTCCTCAGGGCCAGGCTGAGGCTTCCGGGGAAACAATGCATCGGGGGGTCCCAGCCGGGCACCGGGACAGAGGGTCTGACGCCACCCATCCCCCCAGCACCCCTGCCCCGACCTTCAGCCCGCCCGCGCCCACGGGGGCCGCGGCAGGTGCCCCAGATCGCCGAGCCCCGCGCCGCGAGCGCGCACGCGCGCCTCACCCAGCAGCGCCCGCAGGTGCTTCAGGCGGGTCAGCACGTCCTTCTTGGGGTCCAGCACCTTCTGAGTGGACTTCTTGACATCTCCGTGGCTCCTTCGGGAGAACATCCCGCCGCGGAGAGCCCGGGCCCCGCCGGCGGGGCAGGAGGCGCCTGCGCCGCACGAGTCACCGCATACGGTCGGGGCGGGCGCGTGTCCCGAGGGCCACTCAGCGCCCCCAGCGCGGCCGCCAACCCCGCCGCCGCCTCTCCGCCGCCTCAGCCGCGGCTCCAGGAAGGAGGAGCCGGGCACGGCGAGGGGCGGGGCAGGAAGGCGGTGTCGCGACGCCGAACCGACGGCCCCGCCCCGTGCTCGGCTCGGACCGGCCTCGCCGGACAGGGGCCGGACCGCGCACGGGGACGCGCCGGGAACACCGTGACCGCGCCGCGAATCACAAAGGCGCTTGTCCCAGGCACATGAGATACTACAAGTCCCGGCATGCATTGCAAGATCATCTTCCAATCAGGCTGCGTGCCTCCGGCAAGGGGCCCGCTCTGAGCGCATCCTCCCGCCCCGCCTGGGTCGCATGCACTCTTGGGAAATGTAGTTCTGAAGGGGGCCAGCCTCTGTGACCTCTCTCCTAGCGTGCTTGGAAGACCTGGCCTGAGAGACCTAGGAAGCCTGGAGTTCACTTTCTCTCTAAAACAACGTGAAACACAAAAGACTGTCAGTAAGAACTTTTAAATTCCAAATTATTTTTAGATTTAGCCTTTGAATTCAGTCACGGCTCCTTGACCTTGCCAAAATTGGAGCTTCATATTCACACTAAAATGAACGGTTTGGGACCACAGACAGCCGTGCCTAGGCTCCAGGTAAGAAGTGCACCGGCTCCCCTTGGTTCTTGGGACCCTCAGCCTCACATGTGGTCTGTCGGTCTCTCAGAGGCTCCTCTGGGTTTTGTCCCTTGCTTGCTAGGAAATGCACGTTATGTGTGTTGTGCAAGGCCGTCTTGGAATCCAGTAGCAGAACCAGAAATAGAACCCGAGGGAGCTGATTCTCGGGCCCAGATACTTTTAAGGCCAGTCGTCTGATTGGAAAGGTGGTGGGGTGCTGCCTTGGAGAGGTCTGGCTCCTCCAAATGTACAAAAGTTGAGAATCACGTGATTTCCATTCTAATTAGGGCGACACAACTTTGCCTCCTCCAACGGAACTGTGACATGAGCTGAAGCCCGTACCCATCCCAGAACACAATCTTTGACCTTGAAGGCACTCAGCAGAGGTTTGCTAAATAAAGTGAAGTAATAGGCTAAAATAGTCCTATCTGTTTCAACCAGACTTGAAAGAGAAATATAAACGCTGTAGTTGATGCATCCTCCCTCTGTTTTTAGGGTTGCCAAAATAGCAGATAGAATTGGGATGCGTTGATGCAAAGAAATACTACTCAGAAATAAAAGGGAACAAACGACTGATAATTCAGCAGCATGCATGACCCCCACAGGCCCAGCATGGAAGGCCCGGTGCGTAGGAACATGCCAGGGCTGCCCACAGCCTTGGTCTCTGGATGACCTCATGGGTCAAGACCACAAACCTCACTACAATGGAAGAACCGTGTTCTCAAGGCATTTAGGGAGTCTCTGTTACAGGTGCTGGCCCAGCCCTAACCATTGTAGCCATCGGAGAAGTTAACCAGATAGAAGGGCTTCCTCTGTGTCTCTGCCTCTCTCAAAAACTAAATAAAAAAAAAAAAAAAAAAAGAAGAAGAGGAAAAAATAGCAGAAGAGAAGGCCATGTTAAGAGAGAGGTAGAGATTGGAAGTGTGGGGCTTGTTATGGCATAGTGGATTAAGCTACCATCATCCCATGTAAATGGTTCAAGTCTTGGCTGCTCCACCTGCTAATGCACCTGTGAAAGCAATGGAAGATGACCCAAGTACTTTGACTCTTGCCACCCATGTGAGAGATTTAGATAGAGTTTCTGGCTCTTGGACCTCTGGGGAGTAAGCCAGTGGGTAAAAGATTCTCTCTCTCTCCTTCCTTTTCCTCTCTAACTCTTTCAAATAAATACTCTTTAAAAGAGAGGGAAGTAAAGATTTCATTTATGTTACCACAAGCCAACGGACTCCAGAAACAGGGAGAGAGAAAGAAAACATTTTCTGCTGGAGCCTCGCACAGGGATGCTATTCCTGCCAGCAGCTAGGCTGCAGGCTTATGGATTCCAGAACTGTGAGAAAAGACATCTGTTGCTTTAAGCCACCAGTTTGTGGTCATTTATTATAGCAGCCCTGGAATACGATGAGTGTTGCCAGATAGTGGAGAAAACCTATGTGGTTGTTTAACAGGAAATTATAGGAAATGCTAAATATATGCACATTTAAAGTGGAGGCAAATTCAAAGAACTACTAGGTTGTCAGGAGTTGAATATAATTTTGTTTGTTTTGTTCATACCAGTAAAGGGTTATTGAACACCTACTATGGTTTAACTCTTATAATCACCAAATAATTCTGCAGGATATTTTCCCACGCTTCTACTTGTGACAAGGCAAGGGTGAGCACTCAATCGGTATTCATACAATAAATTAACTAATCCATAAATATCTCATTCAACATAATTGGGTATCTTTTTTAGGATGATGCTTCAGTTTAAGGAAATTATTGCAACCCACATTTTAAAATTCAACCTTTTTTTTCTTGAACTTTTTATAAAATACAGCTCATGCTTTCTGTCTACTTTTGTTTTAAGAAAAGTAGTACTTTTTGTTTTTGTTCATTCATTTTTATTTATTGAAAACCAATCATTGAGAGTCAGTGAGAGAGAGGAAAAAGATCTTCTGTTTACTGGTTCCCTCTGCAAATGCCTGCAACAGCCAGGCCTGGGCCAGGCCAAAGCCAAGAGCTATTTAAGTCTCCTATGTGGGCTGCGGGCACTCGGATGCTTAAGCCTTCACAATACCTTGGCAGGAGCTGAGTCAGGAGATAGAGGTGGAGGTGAGACACCATCCCACACATCCTGACCTGGGGTGTGGGTAGGCAGCCCAAGCAGCAGATTAACTGCCTGTGGGTCACATTACCTTCCCCCTGCCTGTCTTCTCATGTAAAGGTTTCTGGCTTTATTTGAAAGGCATAATGAGAAGGAAAAACAGAGAAATCGCTTGCATTTGGTGGTTTACTTTCCAAATGTGTGCAACAGTCAGGGCATGGCCAGACCCAAGCAGAAATCATGAGCCACTAACTCCATCCAGAGCTGTCCTCTGATCCGTTCACAAAATGGTTTGTTTGTCTTTCAACTACAATCCTTCTGAATGCTCAGGTTGGCTAGTACTCTACTTTCCAAATAACCTGAAAATAGTTGTGCTTCATTTCCTGATGTAATGTGCATCAAATTCTTCCATTTGGGAGGATTTACTGTTGCAAACTGACAAAAATATCTTGTGCCTACATGTTAATCCAGTTGTCATGGGTGTTATGTTAATCTGAATATGTGGGAAATTTCTATTTGTGGCTATAACTTTTCCTTATCATTTAAACTCATGGTGTCTGTTCACACGATTAAAGTCTTTGAAGACATCAAACCAGCTTTAGCTCCTCATTTGGAGACCATGATTGCCACCAAAGGCCACCCCTGACAAATCCCGTGACACAGACTCTGCCTGATTGCTCCCCATAAAACAAAGGAAAAAGTCTTCAGTATAATAAATGCAAAATTTTCCTTTCAATCAACATTTTCCCTGAAAGTTTGAACTAATATCTGTTTAGTATGCATGTCATGGCCCTGAGAATCTATGCCCTACTCAAATCCTTTGGAGAAAGGCTGCCAACCTTCTTAAAAATCAAAACAGAACCCAGTGCTTATAACATAAAATCCTAGTGCCTGTTTTTCAGTTGATAAATAGCAAAGTATACTAAAAATATATGTCATTTTCTCCTCCAAAAATATTCCCATTAGTTTATTTTCTTTCCAAATATCTGTCAAGCAGGGAGATTTAACACTTAACTTTAAACTTGACTATAAATCATCTTATATGGGAATTTTATTGCAAAGACAGACTTGGAAAAAGTTTTTGAAAATGTCCTGGCCATGTTGATAAGTCTGATAACAAAGTAATGCCTTAGGGAGAAAGGAACCCAGTAATTTTGCTAAATTCACTCAAGCAGATGTTTTCACAGCTGTGCATTTCAACCGCAATATCATCTATTTTGGATATATATATTAAATATTATATTATATATTACATTGTATTATATTATTATATATTAAAATATGTATTATATATTATAAATGTGTGTATAGATATATAATACACATTTTAATAATCAAAATAAAATTAACCTTTCAGCATCAATTCAAGGATACATAACATTAGGAAACCATATACCCAAAAGTAAATACCATGACCACTTCAGAATGTTAACATACCATGTCTTTGAAAGCTAATGGAAAAGCTAAAACTCAGTGAAGTAAGCCAGTGTATCCCAAAATGGCAAATATCATATGTTCTCTCTTTGATATGAGGCAACATTCATGCAAAGTACAAAGTATTAGCTGTATAGAGAACCTGTTTATGCATATATTCTCATAGATGAATTATATTATGGAGACTAGCATACCAGGAAGCGAAGATTCTGTGCAAGAAGCATCACTACTCTCAAATACGAGGACTCCCAATGAAACCATTAAACCACTTTGACAATAGGTCAGCAGATTTTCTACCTTCGTCTATATCTACAGTGCCATGGGGCACATAAATGGCAGAATGTTAAACTTGTGTTACTAAAGAGTAATACTGCTGTAATAATATGGGGGAAAATGGTGGGAGGGGAAAGTGAGGAGGAAGGGAGAGGAGAGAAAGGGAAATTATGGAAAATAATAAAAATAATTTTTAATAAAGAAAGCTAATCGAAATATCAAGAATCATAGGAACTGCCTATGTAATAAATCAAACTTAAATTTGATTCACAGAAGAGAGGAAGTTATATAAGATTAGTTCTACTTATCCCTTCTAAAACAGGGTGTTGGATTTTCCAAGAGTGAATATAGTTTATAGAATGTTGGCAAAATCTCCATTCAAAATGAAGAACTCCTCATGTGGTTTGCTCTACTTGATAATAGAAAAAAAGAGAGAAATTATTGGGGAATATAATAATTGGCAGAGAACATGACTCAAGGATATACATTTCTTTCCTTTTACAAATTCTTTTTTCTAATCTGATTATTAGTGCATGTCTTATAACAAGATGACTTTTACCTGGCATTTCACATACGATCCTTAGATTTAAGCAACAGAAATTGCCTGGTGGATTAAGCAAAATATAGTCCTTTAAA